TAATCGTTCCTTCTTCCCAAATTGTTTACAAACAGAAAGCGTGATATTTGTGCATGATGTACAAAGAGAAATATCAGAGGATCCGAGAATCTACTTAAATACCTAACATTAGTGTTAATAATACATGGGTGATAGTAAAAAGTAATTAGTGATTTCTCAAGACTGGTAGATCAAAAATTGATGTAGAACTGTCATCCACAAAATAAAATCTCTCTGGGTGTGATAACTTATACTGCTAATAACTAAGCTCAACTTTTTTTTTCCCCCTTCCAAAAGTAACTGGGATGAATGACTATTACCTCTGTTTTGATGGAGAATTCAGTTGAATGTTGCTTTATTTTTTTTTTTTAACAGGTAGCAGATATCAAGAGGGTTAACAATCTCATCAGCGACCAAGACTTTTTTGCCCTTAGGTCTATCAAAATTCCAGTTAAAAAGTTTAGTTCATTGACTGAAACACTTTATCCTCCAAAAGGAAGACAGGCTTCACGTCCTTCATCTGTTCAGTATGTTCCAGAACAACAGGAAATTTTGCCAGCTAATGATTCTCTTTCTTCCACTGAGTCAGCTGATAACTTTTTAAAAGAAGTAGATCGAGACATAGAACAAATAGTAAAATGTACAGACACCAAAAGAGAGAACCTTAATGAGGTGGTATCTGCTTTAACAGCACAACAAATACGTTTTGAACCTGATAATAAAAACATTCAACGTAAGGATCCTTATTATGGAGCAGACTGGGGAATAGGGTGGTGGACAGCTGTAGTGATAATGTTGATAGTAGGTATAATAACGCCAGTATTTTATTTGCTGTATTATGAAATTTTAGCTAAAGTGGATGTTAGTCACCATTCAACAATGGATTCTTCACATTTGCATTCAGGAGTGACACCCCCATCACAACAGAGAGAAGTGGAAAATGGAATTGGTCCAACTAAAGGAATACCCTTTGGCCAACATGATCATAAACTATACCGTCAAGATTCTCAGTCACCTGCTGCTCAACACAAAACATAGCAGTTAGCTCATAATTACAGTGTTAATGATCATGTGTATCTGGAGTGTGGTGAATCAGTTACATTCAGTAACCACTTTAAAGGCAGAAGTTAGGGAGATTGAAGATGCTCTTGTTTTTCACCCTTCTTTTTGGAGCCAGTTGCAAATAGATTGAGTATAAATTCCTACAGTTGCTAGTTGTTGATATTGAGAGTTGTAAATCTATATCTTGTATCAGTGCTTAAAGCAAAAATGAATTTAAAGATGGGTCTAGGAAGTTCTTAACTTGGAAAATGCATCATTTTTCTTACTCAAGCCTGGTTATGTTTAAATTTTATTTTTCAAGTAATTATTTTTTGGTTTAAGGTTATTGTTAAATATATTAAGCAAAATAAAATTTATAAGCCCCCAAAATAATGTGTTATGGTTAGGAAGTTGCCATTTGGTCACTAGAACACTGGATTAGGTCAAGACCTAAAAGTAATCTTTGTCTCTTAAAGCTCGCTGCCTCTGCTTCTGTTTTTTAAGTGATTATATTTGCCTCTGTTATTTGAAAGCACTTTTGTAATTCTTTAATGAAAAGTGTTATATGAATTGCATTATTTAGGAAATAAATCCCTACATACTGTGATAATTTGTTGCTGTGTTACATGCAGTAACATGCCTTAATTACATTTAATGCCTTATAATACTACTTTATGTAAGCTAATACAATTTTTAGAGTTAAAATTAAGGATTATTTCAGATGGTTCAATTTATATGGCCTAGGCCATATAAATTCGTCTCCACCTTCACTATCAAGTAAAACTTCATAGGGTTAAAACGATTTTTGGCTGCCTCAGGTCTATTGGAGAAAGTGGTTCATTAAGCAAAAGCAAAGGTACAAGAGACCTTTTGTATTAACACTAACAGACAAATTATTTATTGATCCGTTAACCTATATTTTTCAAAGAGAAAATGTCCAACTTAGACCTTTTTTTCCCTCTGAACTATAGCATCAGATTGGGGAACAGAGCCACAGGTGTGTGGATCAGCCAAAAGGGCTTGATAGTGCTACTTCCTAAGATTTGCTGGGGATCAGACAGTCTGGCTAAATAAGCATCATTTGCATACTGATTTCCATCATTTAATTTCTTCAAGTATGTGTTTTAAAAATGTAACCAAATGATTCATTAGAAGAAAGATTTGGTAGAGTCTGGATTGCCTGTTTGTGTATAATAAAGTATGTACCTTAAGTTATATAATATCACCTCATTTTCTGGGCATTATTTCCTAATTTTTAATGTTTCAGGTTTTGATCAGTCATTTTGTATTTCCAACTCCAGTATTGATTTAATAAAAAGGGGGGGGATGAATAAGTACATATGGTAAATGAGGTTTCATGTATACTTTCAGGAGCAAAGTATAAGAAACAGGACAAAGAAGTCAAACATTAAAGCCCTTGCATGTATCAGAGGACCTTAGACAATTAATGAAAAGTGTTAATATGGAAGTTGTAGCAAAATCATATTTTGAGTAACTCTTTTAGTTTGGAATTCTAAAAATTGTTTTAATGTGCCTTGGCATGTTGGAAAAAAGGTATGATCATTCTAATTTACACTCAGTGTTAACTTGGTCAGTTTACATTGTATTTATTATGCCTGCTGAAAAATCAAGTTTTAGGGAAGGAAAATGATTGGATTATTTTCGGGTAGAATGAAGAACTTTGTTTACATCAAATTGATGAAATTACAGTCAGTGATTCCTTTTTGCTAGTGCTACTTTGAAATTGTGATAGGTCTGATTTCCAAAATAAGTAACTTAAAGTAGTGAAGTGTACTATGTATTTGATTAAAAACCATTTTTGTCTTGCAGTGTGTCCTCTTTTGCAAAGGAAATATAACATATCCTTATGACACAATCAGGCAGTTTCCTTTTTCTATATATTTGAATTCTATATATATGTCATATATATAGAATTTTAGATTCTAATCTTTAATGGTCATTTAAAAAAAATTTTCCTGAGCATTTAATAGATCTAGAATAATTTTACCTTTTAAAAAGTACTAATATACATCAAAATTTGTAGCAAATAATTACTTTGTAAAACTTAATAATATTGAGTTATTATTTGATATTGTGCATTTTAAATATGTTGAAACCCTTATTTGAATTTATTTGGATGCTTTACATTAGAAGGTATATATGTTATATATATGCTAACAATTGTGAATCATTGCATTTGGTTCACTTAAAAACTTGGCTTTGTAAGTGAAGAAAAATTTGCTATTTTTAGGGCAGATTATTTTTTTTAACGATGGGTACAAATGGTTAAGGTTGTTTTGAACTATTGAATGCCATTTAAAGTTTTTGCCATCCTACTCCTAGAAAATTATGGGATTCATCTCTTCAAAAGATAGGGTAAAATGGATTATATAGTCTGCTGACCACATTAGAATTAGAAAGAAGACTAATGTTAAATGAACTTTTCCAAAGGACTTTGTGTTTTTTAAAGCTTTTCTTTTTCTGAACTCGCTTGTTCAGCAAAAATTCTTTAAATGACCCACTACTTACTAATTAGTTCTTTTTAAGGTATCTATTTCTAAAATTACCTAGTTGGGAATATGAAGGATGTTTCAGAAATATCATGAAGCAAGGATCCAGTCAAAGCGTTACAGGGTAAAGGTAGAGTTTTTAGAAGTCTGTTATTTAAATGGTGCGTTATGATCGGCATCATTCTTATTTTGAATTTTGAATTTGAACAACGTTGCTCAGGAAATCAGTATTTTTCTTCTAAGTATGTGCATATTGCACTGTTATATCATAGAAATATCTGAATGCTTTATTTAATTCTTTTTATGTATGCAGATCTATAAATCTTTTGTATAATGTATTTTATACAAAGGCAAAATGGAATTGTAGAACATTGTTAGCATGTACATCTGTAAAACTGGTTTTTAAAACTTTCTGCCCTTATTTTTCGTATTTTAAAAGATATGCAAAATGTAATAAAGTTTCTATTTTATTATTCAGTCTAAAATGAAAGCTGGTGAATTTAATTGAATAAAAGCAAAACTTTTTCCTCTTTTAAACTGTTTGATGTAGAGATACTATGTAAGGTAGATAGAACTGCCAAAGGTTTACCAATTCATATTTCTCACTTGTTATACAGAAAATCCACTGGATTATTTATAGGACATAAATGAAAACAAATTTCAGATGGATGTTCTTTGGATGTTCTTCGATATCAGGGAAGAAGACTTTAAAAGGCATGGTCCATGGCTGCTTAGCAAGTTGTGCTCTATATGTAAATTTTATCATGAAACCACCTTTCCACTTCAAGGATATTTTTCAAAATTACTGGTAGCAAAAAGAATTGAAAAAGTTGTTTGAAGTTTTTATTTATTTAATGGAGGAATTGTGATACAATTTTTTTTCCTTAAAATTGTATTTAAACTCATTTTTTAAATAATAAGTTGTATTTTTTTTTTTAAGATTTTATTTATTTATTTGAGAGAGAGATACAGCGAGAGAGGGAACACAAGCAGGGGGAGAGGGAGAGGGAGAAAGAAGCAGGCTTCCCGCTGAGCACGGAGCCTGATGTGGGGCTTGATCCCAGGATCCCGGGATCATGACCTGAGCCACCCAGACGCCCCTAATAATAAGTTTTTACTAACTCCAGAGCCTTTAAGCATATGGAGGCAAAGCCATTGACACTGTACATTTGAATGTGGTGGGGATGGAAAGGTTAACAAGATCTTCCAAATTTCTTAGCATTCTCTTGTATCCACTGTAAGTCAGTTCCCGATACCAGTGATCATACTAATATTACACTGTCTGCCAAATCTCTTAATTTGTTAACATGACTTTAATCATCTAGAGTTTTCTTTTGTGGGTGGTTTATTGAAGAATATTTGGTAACTGTCATACTTGCTCAGTAAATAAAGTTATTTTACTATGTAAAATCTGTATTAACAAATCTGTTTTCTCAAACATATTTAAGTAGGTTCAAAATAAACCATGTTTATATAAAACAAAAGGACACAACTTTGTTTTGTAAGAATTTAATGTGTAAACAGGAAAATAAGCATATAGCAACGAAACAGTTTGGCCTGTTAATATAGCAATTGTAAAGACACTTCAAGTACTTTTTTATATACAGGAGGCTATCTCTGCATTAAAGTTTACTTTCTTATGGAATAAGTAACTTCACAGTCTCTGAGATTTTAAGCCAGAAAGACAAGATTCATGCTGGTAAAGCAACCTGTAAATACTCCCTGTCCTCAACAGTTAGTCTACTTTAAACTTACAAAAAGATCTTCCAAAGGGGGAAGACAGTGCACTTAAGGCAGATGGCTGGGGCCTCCTCTAGCAAATCCCTGCCCAAAGGGGCTGTCTTACCATCTGCTGGACTAAAACTGGAGGCAAAATTGAAAGCTAGGAAAATAAATATCTGTATCTTCAGTGCATCTGACCAATTCACAGGGTTATCTGCAGATTTATATCTAAGCAAGTAAATAGAACTATTGAGATCAGATTTCTATAAATTAAATGGTATTTGGCTAAGGTACTAAGGAGGTGAGAGAATAAAACATCAATGTTTTAACAATCCCAAGTGACTTTATTTGCCCATTACAATTAGAAACTTTATGTGAGTTTCTACTTTAAGTCCAGTAGATTGCTGTGTTAACGTGGACTTTTTTTGTTTTCCATTTAGAATGTTTAAAGTTTCCCAGAAGCTAATTTCAACTAATAATTCACATATGATTGACACACTGAACTAACAATGGTCTTCACACCCACCTTGAATAATCTGAGGAGGTATTGAAAGTGATGTTTTTCCTGAGAAAGTCATGTTGCAAAATGGCACAAGACATAAATTTTCTCCAATCCTTCCCTCCAGAATACAAGATGGGAAAATCAGGTTATAATATAGTTTGTGAGGAAAACATGCTTGTTTTTCAAAACTTTGTTTTCAATCACTTATGAAGTTACCATTTTTTAGAGGGTGAGAACCAAATTTAAATTAAGTGATCATTTCTATAAGGTATGAATGAATACACATGGCAAATTTTGGTTGGTGTGTAAGCAATTTTTATAGAAAATAGTTTACAGGTGGAGAAACTAAGGCACAGGAAACTTAACCAAGCTCATTTTCAAGGTTGAGTCTATAGTAAAGGTAGAAACAGAATCTAGGGCTTTGATTCTCAAGGTTAGAAGGTAATGGGTAATATCTTCCCCAAAGGGAAAAATTATCGTCTTTATTCTTTTTGGTAGGGAATATTAAGAAATCATTTAAAAATATACAATACGAATTCCCTTGAAAATCTTTGGCATTTGTGTGTCTTTGGAGCCTGGGGGTTTTAGGTATTTTCCTGCCAAAATATAAAACGGCATGGGAGCTAGTTTTTAATCAAAACAAAAAAGATTAATCCTAATTTTAAAAGGACCTGAGTTTTATTCTACATTGTTATATAAATCAATTGGATAACTATGAGTCCTGTGAAATTTAACAACGGCCACTACACCAAACAGATTTCATACACATGCATTCTGCAGTGAGATTTATGACTAGAACTTTACACTTTCGTAAAGTACAAAATTAGATATCTAATTTTTCATAAGCCCAACTATTCAAAGATATCAAACTTAACTACAGTGAGATGATTATATGTTAAGTGGCATTGAGTTGGCTCCAAATTCATGTATTTTTAGTATTCATCCCAGGTTTTTGTACAGCCTGAGATGTGAGCTGGGAAATTCATACAATTCAGAATGAGGCATTTTTCCCTGGGTGTTTTTGATCACAAAACTTCCAATCTCATAAAATATGCAATTGTAAGAGCTCAGGTAGGTTTTTGCAGTCATTCGTAATGCAGCACAGAACATACCATGCGAAAGTAAAAGATAAAATTATTTTCAAGTTTGTTTCTAAAGTGCTCTTTGTGCAGTATTATTATATCAACTTTCAGATTATAGAAATCCACTATAATGACTAGTAATAGTTTTACAACAGATCGAGTTCAACAAGAGTAATTTGTTCAAGTATGAATACATAGATTAAAAAATGCAAAAACTCTAGGCACATTGAAATCCAAATGATACAAGAAAAATCCACTTGAATACATAAGACAGATGACAGGGGTGTTGAAAAGGAATGTCAGAGTATCAGAGACTGATTGGTAAGGTAACTAGTATGTAAACTCAAAGTGGTTCTGAATATTTTGACAGCAAGTATTTGTCCAACAAAACAGGAACAAAAATACAATATTCCTTATCAGAAATAGAAAACAAGTCTGTCCAAATGTTCAGAAGTGGTATCATAAAGATATTTTGGGAGAAATTTCATAGCTAATAGGTTGCTTCATCCATGTTGTCGTCACTATCTGCACCAAAATCATCTCCATCTTCAAAGTATGAATTAATGTAGTCATTTTCCTAAGTGAAATGATATATTCCTCAGTAAACATTAAAATGAATGAGTAGTAAGATCATTATTAAAAAATATAATCTAGGCTGTCTCTTTAAGTGTATAAATATCAAGTAATAAGAAAACATAGCAGGCTTTTGAAAAGTCTCTATTTCATCTGATTAAAAAATACATTGGTTTTCATTCCCATCTACCTGTGCTGCTTTCCACAAGGCCATCACCTCCTACTATTTTCAGGCACCAACTCGTTAAGAGAAAATGAAGGAATGTCCATGACACCTTAGTAGAATGATCCATCGAATTCATTACACCTTAGTAGGATGATACATGGTCTAGTGAGCTAAACCACTAAACACTCCAAACAAATGTACAGACACTCAAGAAACAAAGCCAATTTACATTAACATTCATTAAACTACACCAGAACTGAGGTTTTCAGTCACGATGTGTAACTGAGCAGAAGTAGAGGGATTTTTGCTTCCTGTCAAAAAACAGGCCTCAAGATACCAAATCTCCTTGAGGTTAAGAGGAATTAAGCTCCTGGGAACATTTCAATTATCAAGACTGGGGAAGATTTATCCATGTAAATAATTCCTGATATTTCTGTGCTTTCTATCAAAAATTCAAAAATCCATTTTGGATATGGAATAAAGGAATTTATGCACGTTATTAACTAATTGCAGTGTATGGGCTGTATTTGAATTTTGATTGGAATGAACAATAAAATTTTGAGACAATTAAAAATATTTGAATATTGGCTTAATATTTAATATTAAGAAATTATATTTATGTTAGGTGTAATAATAATATTGTGATGTTAAAGAGCCCTTATTTTTTAGTACATACTGAAATATTTATGGATGAAATGATACAATGCCTGGGGTTTGCTTTATAATAATCCAAGGTGGATGGGAAATGGAAGTGGGGGGATAGGAATGGATTGGGTGAATAAATGAGTGGTTGAAAGATTGGCTATAAATTGATGATTGTTAAAACTGGGTGATAAGTTCATGGGTGTTTATTTTACTTGTCACTAGATTTTTGTACTTCATTGAAATCCACCATAAAAAAATTAATCTCTACATCTCCACTCTCTATAGCAGGAGTTACGACAGAGTAAGAAGTAGAGACTATTCTCAAAAGAAGGTCACCTGGATATCAGCTTTTTTAGTATCTTTTTTTTTTTTTTAAAGATTTTATTTATTTGACAGAGAGAGACACAGCGAGAGAGGGAACACAAGCAGGAGGAGTGGGAGAAGGAGAAGCAGGCTTCCTGCGGAGCAGGGAGCCCGATACGGGGCTCGATCCCAGGACCCTGGGATCATGACCTGAGCCGAAGGCAGCCGTTTAACGACTGAGCCACCCAGGTGCCCCACTTTTTTAGTATCTTAATGGCGGGATTTTTTTTTAACATATAAATTTATATAAATAATGCAAGATAACTTGTATTGTTCAGGTATAGATTTCCTTACTTTGTCTTCCCTAACACTGTAAGTTTTTGTATCCAGTAAGTTTCCATAGCATCCCCAGGAAGATGGCCTGGTTTCTCTGGTGCCAAGAAATCCAGTAACGTCTGGAAGCCTGGCTGAAGCCTCGGGGCTAGTGTACAGGGGAGGGGTGCATGGGTGAGAGTTCAAATGAGACCACCTTGTAAAAGAGTTGGAAGGGATACTTCACTATTTCAAATCAAAACATCTGCAACTTATGCTTTGCTTTAGACACGAACACTTCCAAGTACATTCAGTGATTCACCTTAGGTAATTTTGTGATGTTAATAATCTTGATACACGTACAAAGTGAGAACTTGTTGAAACTGATGGCTTAAATGGTTCTTGGCTTTCACTTGTTTTTTCTTTAATTACAATATTCAAAAGACCGAAGGAAGAAAAAGTCTGCGTTTCTTTAATTTTACAAAGAGGTGCTACCTAGATAATTTGCTCCATTTATTCTTCAAAAATAATGCTTATCAAATCCTCAATATGTCAAGTTAATTAACAGGATTTTTTCATTAATTAATTGCTAAAAAGAGCCAAGAGTATGACTTTAAATCTAGAAAGTCTTTAACTGAGTTCCCCTCTTCATCCCTCACCCAGACTCATACTCAAAACATGTATCCTTTCTCTACTAAAGTGAAAAGTTGTTTTTTTTTTTTTTACTGTATTTATATAAACTGTGTTTAGTACTCTGCTAAAGCCTCACACAGAATTCTGAAATTATTAGAATCCTGATGTTTGTCATTCTTACTAGGGATGATCGTAATTTCAACAGAGCTCACCTCAAGCAGATTTTATAAAGAGAGCATTCCAAAAGCTAATCTTGTCTAGAAAACAGGCCACTACCCACTCAAAGATAATAGCACGCTACAATCCCCAAGACCAGTTGTGACAACCAAAAATGTCTCCAGATATTAGCAAATATAACTTGGAGGGCAAAATCACCACTGGCTGAGAACCACTGGTTCATAGCAACAAGCTTTCAAACATGATTTAACCATGGTTCCTTCTAATCCAAGCAACTGAGCTTTCTAAAATACAAATATGTTAAAACTACTCCACTGCTTTAACCCTTCAAAGGCTACCCGCAGCACTCAGGAAAAAGTAATATTGCTCAGCCTGGTATTTAAGACCCTATATATTTGTCTCTTCAGCTTCATCTCTCCACGTACCCCCCCATTACACTCTGATCCAGCCATATTGACTTGTCAGTTACACTATTAAGCTACACTCTCATCATGTGCAAGCCTTCTCCACCCTCTTTCCTCTATCTCCAAGTCCCCTCCAGTCCATTGCTCATCTTGATCTGATTAAGTCTTCAGATTGTCTTCTTTGAGATATCTTCTTTCACATCACTAAAATGGAGTTTGGTGCCCCCCTTACGTACCCCTATGGCATTCTGTACTATATTACACCATAGCATTATTCAGTGTATTGCAACTGTCTCCCCTCTTGTGTGTTTCCCCACTACACCAATATCCTTGATGAGAGAACTGTATCTTCTCTTGATACTCCCCTTGCCTAGTACAATTCCAAGCATATGCGTGGTGTACAATTACTATACAGTGAATGAAAAAAAAAATAAGGAGTAAAAGGTATTTCTAGGGCAACTAAAATTTTGGATAGGGATGCAGTCAGGGAGATTGTAGAGAGAAAAGGAAATCCAAGGGAAGAAATCTGAAGAATACTGACATTTAAATATTAGAAAGAAGAGAACTCAAAAGAGACCATGAAAAGCTATCAGAAATAGGAGAAAAACAAGAAGGGTTGTGTCACAAAAACCAAGAAAAGCAACAACATTTGCCTATGTCCTGGCATATAGTTGATGCCATAATTGCCTTAAGTTGTTGAATTTATTTTATTTATTATTTATTTTTTTATTTTTTAAAGATTTTATTTATTTATTTGAGAGAGAGACAGAGCATGAGCAGGGGGCAGGAGGCAGAGGGAGAACCGACTGAGCCACCCGGGCACCCCTGGTGATTTTGTTTTTAAAAATTGGTGTAGGGGCTTCTGGGTGGCTCAGATGATTGAGCATCTGCCTTCAGCTCAGGTCATGATCTCCAGATCCTGGGATTGAGCCCCGCATCGGGCTCC